TTAATTTCTTTCTATTTTTGGTAGAGACGGGGTCTCGCTCTTGCTCAGGCTGGTCTTGAACTCCTGAGCTCAAACAATCCGCCTGCCTCAGCCTCCCAGAGTGCTAGGATTACAATTAGCATATATTATTACTTTTACAAAGACATTCCTTCCCTCCAAAAACTAGTATCTTTAAAAAAGGGCAGATAGAAATAAAGAACTTTTCAGTGGTATAGTTTTTTTTTTCTAGAGACAGGGTCTTGTTCTGTGGCCCAGGCTGGAGTACAGTAAGTAACATGATCATAGCTCACTGCAGCCTTGAACTCTTGGGCTCAAGCCATTCTCCACCTTAGTCTCCTGAGTAGCTAGGGCCACGCCCAGCTAATATTTTTTTGTTTTTTGTAAAGATGAAGTCTTACTATGTTGCCCAAGCTGGTTTCCAACTCCTGGCCTCAAGCCATCATCCTACCTTGGCCTCCCAAAGCTTTGGGATTACAGGTATGAACCACTGCACCCAGCCTGTATAACATTATTAACAAGAGAGAGAGAGATAGGGAGATAAAGAGAACAGGGCAGGAAAAGCACAAAGTATGCTCTGCAGATGTGGTTTCACAGGAATGTAGTTGAATAAGGTAAGTAGTTAAGGATTCAGCTGGAGAGACGGACTGAGGACAGACTGTGAGGGTACTGTAAGGAACTGATAGCTTGGTGGAAAAAACAACCAAAAATTATGGGGGAAGGAGCCCCTGTATTTCTGACCTTTCTGAATAGTTGAATTTCTTAGACAGTGGTTCCCTACAATGTTTTATTTCACATCCTTACTCTTTCCCACCATCTGCAAAAAACTTACATGAGTGAAAGTCACCAAATAATTACAGAAGACTAGACATTGAAGAGAAATTTGTCTTTAATAAAATCCACAGCTTAAGTTCCTTGTTTAAAGAGAAGGTGGGGACAAGAGGGTAAATCTAAGTGTTTGAAGGGACTAAGTCATTTCCAGTTATCACCATGATTACCTTTTAATTTATCTTTAATGTTTTCCGATAGACGTTTTGTGAGCTGAGGCATTTCTTCTGGAGAATATTCAGCATTTGCCAGTTTCTCCTTGAGCACAGCATGGATACACTCTTTAACAACAGACGGTCTGAACCTAAATGAAACAATTTTAGAACATCTCATTGGTAACTCCAAAACCCCAACTTACCTTCACACTTCAACTTCTCCCAGCTTTTTTTCATTAGTAGCATTTAATCCTTCTTTTTCATATTTTTATTATAAAAACAGTATAAACAAATTAAAGAGATAAGTCATATTCCAAATTTATATGTACAGTCTGGACTTCTCCTGAACTTCAGATCAGATTACATTAGCCACTGCACCCAGCCTGTATAACATTATTAACAAAAGAGAGAGACAGAGAGACAAAGAGAACAGGGTAGGAAAAGCACAAAGTATGCTCTGTAGATGTAGTTTGGCAGGAATAGAGAGTTGAGTAAGGTAAGTAGTTATGTATTATTACTCTTACAAATATATTCCATGTGGATGTTTAATAGGAAACTCAAATTTAATGCATCCAACACTGAGTTTCTGATATTCTGCTCTCCTCCAAACCCGGTCCTCCTACAGTCTTCCCCATGACAGTCAATGCTAACTCCATTTTTCCAGTCGCTCAAGCCAAAAACCTTGGCGTCAGTCTTGTTGCCTCTCTCTTACAGCTCACATCCGTTCATGAGCAAATCTCATCTCTTCTACCTTCAAAATAATATAAAATGTAATCACTCTCACCACCCTACCACGACCATCTTGCTCCAAGCTACCGTCACCTCTTGCCTGGATTACAAGGGCCTAACAAGCTTCTGTCTGCCTGTGCTCCTACAACCTGTTCTCATTCGGTAACTAGACTAATCGTGTTCAAATATATGTCTGATCATGCCACTCTACTCAAAGTACCCCAAATATATCCCGCCTCACTCGAGAGTAAAGACCAGCATCCTCAGCCGGGCGCGGTGGCTCACGCCTGTAATCCTAGCACTCTGGGAGGCCGAGGCGGGCGGATTGTTTGAGCTCAGGAGTTCGAAACCAGCCTGAGCAAGAGCGAGACCCCGTCTCTACTAAAAATAGAAAGAAATTAATTGGACAACTAAAAATACATAGAAGAAAAAATTAGCCGGGCATGGTGGCGCGTGCCTGTAGTCCCAGCTACTCAGGAGGCTGAGGCAGAAGGATTGCTTGAGCCCAGGAGTTTGAAGTTGCTGTGAGCTAGGCTGACGCCACGGCACTCTAGCCCGGGCAACAGAGCAACACTCTGTCTCAAAAAAAAAAAGAAAAGAAAAAGACCAGCATCCTCACTGTGACTTATAAGACCCCATATGATCTACACTGCCAAACTCTCAGACCTTGTTTTCTATTTTCACCCTAGTACTACACTCAGATCACATTGGCTTTCCCTAGTCTTTGACCACGCCAAGCATGCAAACCTTAGTGCCTCTGCACTTGATGTTATCTCTGCCTGAATTTCAATTCCTCCCTTCCTATACAGGCTTGGCTAGCTCTCTCACTTCTTTGTCTTTATTCAGAATTCACCTTTCCTAGGCACATCACTTCATAATGCCCTTCCCAGCACTTGTTATTATACTATCTTATACACTATATACTTCACTCGTGTATTTCTCTTGTTCAGTTGTCCTTTAACTCTGCTAGAAGCTCCATGAGGGTGGGAATTTTTGCATGTTTTGTGTTCACTGTTACATCCCTATTTCCTATAACAATGCTCAACACATAAGAGACACTCAATAAATATTTTTTGAAGGAATTGTGTAGGTTGAGATAGAGACAAGGGAAAAAGTCTCTAATTTTACCACCCTAACAATACCATTAGCATTTTGGTTGAATTTACCATATATTACAACACTCGGTTCCTCTTCTGAGCTGTACATTCTATCAGTTGATTTCTCTATCATGTACCAGGTTACCAAAATGCTTCAAGTTTTGAGCTTGTAATGTGTTTAAATATTTATTTGGTAGTACTAATGTCCCCTCATAACTTTTCCCCCTTCGCATTACTTTTTAACAGTATTGTCTTTGCTCTCTTGCCTACTTATTCTTACAGTTTAACTGTCAGAATCATTGCCAAATTTCCAAGTTTTAATCTGTTCAAAATATGGTCTTCGTATTAACAAATATATTACATCTGACTCTTCCTTTAAGCCTTTCAATCCTCAGTAATATGTTAAAGTTTTCTTCAAACAAATCACACATAACCTCACAGCATTATTCCTACATAAATTTGTTGTTAATCTTATTCTGCATTTGTTTTATAACAGAAACATGGCTGAATGGCATTCTGTGTATTTAGAACCTTTTACCAAGATAACTGAACATACCTTTTTCTGTGTCCATTTTACCACAAGAAAACTCCTGTATGAAATTTTTATCACATCATAACCAAAGTTCCTGGTTTCCAGTACTTGCCAAGCATCAGATTCAGCATTCTGGTTTCAAACAACAGAGGGGGGACCTGGGAAATCTTTTTTTTCTTGGGACAACAAAGTTAGTGGTGGATCCTACAGGGCCAGCTGACCGCCCTCTGCACAAGACTATGTGCCTTAATTCAGGCAAGGAATCGGGGTGGCGGTCTAAGGGCCTCTGGATACCACCTGGGTAGGACTTTGCTTACATACAAGTCCCATGTCAGGAGTATGCACAGTGTGGTACACGTGTGCACAGGGTAACCCTCGAATGATGGCTAAATGGCATTCGATGCAAGTCGCTTGTTTTCTGCCTCCCTATTCTATCCATCTCCTTTCCTCTGTGCGCACGTCCTAGGTTTCCCAGAGCAAACCATTCTCTCTGCGCCAGCCTACGGCGCGCAACAGCTGGCCCGGTCCTCTGCTACCCTCTGCAGCGGGAGAGGAGTCGGGACGTGGGAGCATCGCGGTCCCTCCCGCCTCCGCCTGCCCCTGCGGACCCAGCCAGTCCCACGCACGCGCTCTTTTCCCGCGTCCGGGCTCCCAGGTGAGCGCCGCCCGCCCGACCAGCCTGTCGAGGTCGCCCCACCACATCCAGTCCGCTACCCGCCTTTGCTGGAAAACGGGCGGAAGAATGTAGGTGTTCTCGGGCTCTCCTAAGTTCTTCTCAGTCTCAGGCACCCCGTTGCCAGCAGAGAAAGATGCGCCCACAGAAAAGGACACGCCGGCCGATGTGGCCATGGCCAGGGCTTCTTGGCCTGGGCCTTATGTCGCGATGAGGGCCTGGCCGGTGCGGCTGTGGCACGCAGCCGGGAAACCGTCCCCAGGGCAACAGGACCGCCCCTGGCCCTCACGTGACGGCCGCGCGCGCGTCGTAGAGCGGTCCGCTCTTCCGCGCGCCTGCGCACCCGCTACTAAACGGACCGGACCAAGGTGGAGCGGCTGGAGCCTCGAGCGAGGTCGGTGTATGTCTGTATGCTTTGCAAAACAGTTTAACACGCCTTAGCTCCTATTAACCAAGCCACAATCTTAGGAAATATTCACGGAACCTGGCGCTCATAGAGATTCGGTGACCTGACCAAGGGTACTCAGCTGGTGAGCGAAGGGCCCTGACCCTAATCAAAGGGTCTTTAAACTGACCCTTTGGCCATATCCAGCCTTCCTCCTGGTTTTTGTTTTGTTTTTGTTTTTGTTTTTTCAGTCAGGGTCTCGGTCTGTCGCGAGGGTGAGAGTGCAGCGGCGTCATCATAGCTCACTGCAATCTCCGACTCCTGGCCTCCAGCAGTCCTCCTACCCCTGCCTCCCAAAGCCCTGGGATTACAGGCATGAGTCACTGCACCCAGCAAAAAGTACTTCTTTGATAGTATTGCCTGGATTGGTCTCCCTGACTCCAATAAACTACCTCCAGCCTCACCTTCCTAGTCTACCCTTCACACTGCCTCCAGAGTGGTTTTTGTTTGTTAGTGCTCTGCTCACAATCTTTCGATGGCTCTCTATGGCTATCCCCGTACCATTCACACTTCTTTACTTGTAAATAAGACCCTTATGGTCTGGCTGGTTTCCTGAGCCTTCCTTCTGGCACTGGCCAACAGACAGGTTTGTGTGGAAGCTACAGGCCCAGGTGCACACCCTTCACCAGCTCAGTGCTTCCTCACCATGCCCCTGTTAGCAGCTCCTTGGCAGCAGCACTGGCCCTGCCACCGGCTGAGGTCACACATCCACAGACTAGCCTGAACTCCACCTAGGATAGAAGTCCAACGTTTCTTAGGGACAAACAGTGTTCTTTTCTCCATGCTGTTTCACCAGCCACAAGAAATTATACCCCTAGGAAGAATTATACCCCTAGACTTTCCCTCACCTTTTATGATTTCTTCAACTATGTTTCTCTCATCCTGTCCACTGCAGTCAAGCAAGAAGCACAGAGGATTCTATGTGTAATTTGATTCAACAAATAGTTTATTATGCCTTCTGTGCTAAGGGCTAGAGATACAAAAATGAATAAAACCCAGGCCTTGCCCTAAAGAGTGAACAGATTTGCTGGGCACAGTGGACTAAACTAATCATTACTAAAGTGCCACTTGCTATAACAGAGTAGTAGGGGGTAATATAGAAACAGAGCGAGGCACAGAATTATACATTTAAATTATACAATCATGTGAAGGTATTTACCCATGAAACAGAGTTAAAATGTTTTAGCAAAAACTGATTTTTAATAGTTCTTTACCCCTGCAATTTTCCTGAGAACAGGGCCTGCTTTCTCCCCCCAAAATTTAAAAATTTGAAATATTCTCAAGCTTACAGAAAAGTGGCAAGTATAGTACAAAGAAGTTGTTTTTCTAAACCATTTGAGAGTACAGTTGTCCCTCAGTATCCTCAGGGGATTGGTTCTAGGACCACCTCCAACTCCACCCCTGCAGATACCAAAATCTGAGGATGCTTAAGTCCCTGATATAAAATGGTGTAGTCTTTGCATATAACCTACGCACATCCTCCTATATACTTTAAATCATCTCTAGATTACTTATCATACCTAATACCACGTAAATGCTATGCAAATATTTGTTATACTGTATTTTTTAAATTTGTATTATTTTTTATTGTTGTATTGTTTTTTCCCAAATATTTTTGATCTACAGTTGGTTGAATTTGCATATGTGGAACCCATGGATATGGAGGGCCAATAGTGTATCGCTAAGCCCATCACCCGGATGCTTTCATGTATTTCCTGAAAACAAGGACATTCTCCTCCTTTAAAAGTCTACAACCAGTTGAGTACAGTGGCTCATGCCTATAATCCTAGCACTTTGGGAGGCTGACACAGGAGGATTGCTTGAAGCCAGGAGTTCGAGGTCAGCCTAGACAACATAGTGAGACCCCATCTCACCAAAGAAAAGACTACAACCGTCAAAATCAGGAAATTAACATTGATGTATTACTACTATCTAATCTTCAGACTCACTCGGAGATCTCCAGTTGTCCCAGTTGTTTCATCATAAAAGGATCCAGTACCTGTGTTGCAATGAGTTGTCATATCTCATTAGTCTCCTGAACCACATTGCTGGACATTATGTCTATGAGAAATGCCCTTTGTCCTCCAAACACCTAAGCTCCAAAGACCAAACTGAAGAACAACCTATTCTGAAGATAGGTTTCCCCTGCTCTAAGCAGGATTATGAACAATAAAACATCCTCTTCATTCTAGGATAATATTCAAGAAGGTACACACAAGGTAAGAGATATTAGGTTGGTGCAAAATTATTGCAGTTTCAGACCCTGAATTTTAAATCATTATAATGAGGCTCAAACACAACTTTATTAATCAAAATAGGAACCATTACAATCAATACATTTTTTCCAACAAGAAAAAGTTTGTTTATTCCTGTAGTGTAAAAATCTGTGCTTCGGGATTCATTGAACTCTTGGAGAGCATTTTCTGCATCCTGCTGGTTGTGGAAGCATTTTCCCTGCAAAAAGTTGTTGAGATGCTTGAAGAAGTGGTAGTCAGTTGGTGAGAGGTCAGGTGAATATGGTGGATGAGGCAAAAATTCATAGCACAATTTGTTCAACTTTTGAAGCATTGGTTGTGCAATCTGTGGTCGGGCATTGTCATGGAGAATTGGGCCCTTTCTGTTGACCAATGCTGGCTGCAGGCATTGCAGTTTTTGGTGCATCTCTTCCATTTGTTGAGGATACTTCTCAGATGTAATGGTTTCGCCAGGATTCAGAAAGCTGTAGTGGATCAGACCAGCAGCAGACCACCAAACAGTAACCATGACCTTTTCTTGGTCAGCTTTGGCTTTGGGAAGTGCTTTGGAGCTTCTTCTCAGTCCAACCACTGAGCTGGTCATTGCCGATTGTCATATAAAACCCACTTTTTGTCACATATCACAATCTGATCAAAAAATGGTTCGTTGTTATTGTGTACAAGAAGAGAAGATGACACTGCAAAATGATGATTTTTTGAATTTCGGTTAGCTTATGAAGCACCCACTTACCAAGTTTTTTACCATTCCAGTTTGCTTCAAATGCCAAACAACCATAGAATGGTTGACGAGTTCTTCAGCAGCTTCTCGTGTAGTTGTAAGAGGATCAGCTTTGATGATAGCTCTCAATTGGACGTTGTCAGTTTCCGATGGCTGACCACTGTGCTCCTCATCTTCAAGGCTCCCGTCTCCTTTGCCAAACTTCTTGAACCACCAGTGCACTGTACGTTCGTTAGCGTTGTTGATGTTGCAAGTTCTCTCCACTGCTTTCTGACCCATTTTGAACTCGAATAAGAAAATCGCTCAAATTTGCTTTTTGTCTAACATCATTTCCATAGTCTAAAATAAATATAAAATAAACAGCAAATAATGAGTCATTAGGAAAAAAATGAAGCGAGAAATGCACATTAAAATAATGTATAACATAACCACATTTATTTAAGAATGTATTTCAATATCAAATGGCAAATTTCAACAATGCTAAAACCGCAGTTACTTTTGGACCAACGGAATAGATTTTCTTCTTCATAAAATGTTTACTTAACACCATCCTGATGAACAGATTAGCATAAGCCTCTATGCCCAACACACTGGTTGGAAGCCAGGCCAGGAGCCAGATGTAGCTTTTGTTTGAGAGGGAAAAAAAAAAAAAAAACCAGTGTGAAAGCTTATTCTGAGTGGAAGGTGGTCTTGGGATGTAGACAGGAGGAAGGGGATGTGGGTGCCCTCCAGACTCCCACAGAGGGCAGCTAGCAGCCGGGTATTGAGGGCCACAGAGCCCATGATAGAATGGATGCTGAACTTTCTCTCCTCTCGCCATTGCCTCTAAAAGGTGTTTCTTCCTTTCCCTCACTTCCAGGACCCTAAACTGAATTGTGAAGAGAGAAGATAAGTGAGCTTTTCCAGCAGGTAAGAGCATGTCTAACAGTCAGAGACATTGCACCTTCACCCAGTGGGACTGCACTTCAGAGTTGGAGAAGGCTCTGTCAGACTTCACCCCCAAACTTCTATTTTTTAACCTTGTGCACTTCCAGATCTGGGAATGTCAGCAGCCAACTGTAGGAGGATCCACCTCACATGTGCCAGAATGGAAGTAGAGAACAATTAGCCCAGCTGAGGCAGGGGTTGGAGACATCCTTTGAAGCCCTGTCAGGTTCTACAGTAACAAAAGTGTGAGGTTCCTGAAAGGATGGAAACAAGAAAGAGTTAACTATCCACTGTGAATTTTCTTACTGTGGGGGACTGACCTCTCTCATCTTGGGGTATTGCTGACTCATCAAAATAGGGCTGAGCCAGGATGGGGCTTGTAGACGTGGTGTGTGTGTGTGTGTGTGTGTGTGTGTGCATGCATCTGTATGTACCTGCCTAGCATGTCCCAAACTAGATATAAATTATCTTTAAATTCTCCATTAATTGTGTGTAGGTGTCAGTACCTTTCCCCTGCAGGAGAAGCTTCTTTGTATCAGCCACATCCTAGCCATGACCCTGAAACTAAATCAGCCAACAGGGAAATGTGAGACAAACACAGGCAATGCTTCTTGGACACTCTATGCAGGAATGCAATGTGGTGTCTGGACTTTGGGACTCCCTGCTACTCAGGAGGCTGTGCCTCATTCTGTCCCTGACAGCTCTGTTTGTCCATGTTCCCCAGCCTGGGCAGGCCTATTGGACCAGCAGCTCTGGAGAGGAAAGGGTGAGGTGCTATTTGAAGGGACCTGACCCTGAGCCCTGGGAACAGAGGGACTGCTATGTTCTGGAGGCCTCCGGAGGTGCCTCAGCAGCTCCTCACTGACCAGGACCAGTGCTGGGATGGAGCTAGGATCCAAGAGACTGAGGAAGGGTACAGCAGCACCTGGGCCCCCCACATTCCCTTTCTCGTTTTGTCCATTCTGTGGCAACAAAGCCTGGGTTCTCTAATTCATTTATTGGACCTTCCCACTACCTCTTCTCCTGCCGGTACCCATCTTCCTGGTTCTTCCTAGGCTGCTTCCTTCTGCCTGCCTCATCCTCTTCCTGCCCATCACATCACACTTTCCCACCAGCATCTCCTTCATCCCACTCTGACTCTTCTTGCCACCCAGCACCATACCCTGACCAAAGATCCTAACGTGGGAGAGCAGGAGGGCCTCTGCTTTCCAGGTTCCAAGTTAGAAGCAGCTGTGACATTGCAGTTCACCTCACCAGCCTCTGTCTCTCCTTTGAGCATGCTGTTCCCTCTGCTGGGAAACCCTTCCCCCGAACCCCCCCCCTTCAGTGGACTAACTCTCGAGTCAGCTCAGGCCCAACTGAGGCCCTCCTTGCTCTCCCTCAGGTCCTCTCGTGGGACATTCGTTGTTCCTCCGAGCACTCGTTGTATCTGTGTCAAGCTCTAACATGGCCCTTACCATATGACACTCAAATCATTGGTAGATGTTTTGTTTCCCTAACCTGACCATGAGCTCTTCAAGGGCAGGACAGGGTCCAAGGGCAAGGACCCTGTCTTGGTCATCTTTGGATCCACAGTATGTGTGGTGGCAGTGCAAGGCGCACAGTGGGGACTCAGTATAGACTGTGTGTTGGACTCTACTGAACACTAATAACAAGAACATGGGTGTGTTAGTCTGCTAGAGCTGCCATAACAGAATACCGAAGACTGGGTGACTTACTAAACAACAGAAATTTATTTCTCACAGTTCTGGATGCTGGAAGTCCATGATCAAAGTGCCAGTAGGTTTGGTTTCTCCTGAGGCCTCTCCCCTTGGCTTACAGGTGGCTGCCTTCTTGCTGTGTCCTCACGTGACCTTTTTCTTTGAGCTCCTGCAGAGAGATCTGGTATCTCCTTTCTCTTTTTATAAGCACACCAGACCAGTCCTATCCAATTAGAGCCCCACCCCTATGACCTTATTTAACCCTAATTACCTCCCTAAAGGCCAAATACAGTAACTTTGGGGGTTAGGGCTTCAACCTATAGATTTTGGAGAAACAATTCAGTCCATAACAACTGGTGAACTTGAATTTAGAAGATGTGGGTCAGGTGCTGACTTTACCTATCTATGTGCTTTTGGGTAGCAAGTCTTTTATCCTCTAGGAGGCTCGACTTCTGTATCTGTAACATGTGGCCAATTTTATGGGATTGTAGAGAGGCTGAAATGAGATCATGGCTGCAGCACATTTTATGAACAATAGATTTTTATGCAATTATAATCACTTGGGTTTTGTTTTTTTTTTTTAGAGACAGAGTCTTACTCTGTTGCCCAGGCTGGAGTGCAGTGGCCCAATCATAGCTCCTTGCAGCCTCAAACTTTGAACTCCTAGGTACAAACGATCCTCATTCCTCAGCCTCCCCAGTCGCTGGGACTACAGGTGCATGTCACCAAGCCTGGCTTCTTTGTTTTTTGAGACAGGGTCTTGCTGTGTTACCCAGGCTGGTGTCGATCTCCTGGCCTCAAGCAATCCCCCTGCCTCAGTCTCCCAAAATGCTAGGATTATAGGCATGAGCCACCGTGCCTGGCTCTAATTATTCCTTGTATTAATATTTCACCTTGAAGTTAACAGCATGGTTTAAAGTGCATTATATCATTCAGGCTGGGCGCAGTGGCTCACACCTGTAATCCTCACACTCTAGGAGGTCAAGATGGGAGGATCTCCTGAGGTCAGGAGTTCAAGACCAGCCTGAGCAAGAGCGAGACTCTGTCTCTACTGAAAAATAGAAAAAAAAAAATTAGCCAGGCAACTAAAAATAGAAAAAATTAGCTGGGCGTGGGGGCATGAACCTGTAGTCCCAGCTTATCAGGAGGCTGAGGGAGGAGGATCACTTGAGCCCAGGAGTTTGAGGTTGCTGTGAGCTAGGCTGATGCCACGGCACTGTAGCCCATGCAACAGAGTGAGACTCTGTCTCAAAAAAAAAAAAAAGTGCATTATATCATTCAACCTACATGTGGTGAATTTTGTTATTACTACAGAGATACCTAAAAGGGAAATTTCTTATAGTTCATACCCACTACTCAAAGAAAAGATTCAAGGTAGCTTATGATGAAAACACCCATGCATAAAAGGGTATTACCTATCACTTCTCACAGAGGCTGCAGAAAAGGCCCAGGAAGCTGTTGATGAAATGAATGACCACGAGGAGAAGCTGGAGAAGGCTGATGCACAGAAGGATGGAGAAGAAGGACACATGCCAAACGACAGCTTCAGAGGGTTCCAGGCAGACGGAGTTCCAGAGTGAACGGTCATACAAATAATTCCTACCCCCAAAAATAAGGAGACCAGGGGTTGGGGAATAAGTAAGGAAAGTCAAACAGGAAACCCCAGTAGAAGGCTGGGGCCTCCCCTGGCTCAGTCACAGGACTAGACTCTGTCCCATGAGGGTGGCTGTTATTGCAGCATTTGCAATTTTCTGAGTATCAGAACAACAAGATGCTAGAACATGTGACCCAAAGGAGTTCGCAGTCCATTTGTGTGTGCGCCTCTCTCTCTCCTTCCTTCCCTCTCTCTCCCTCTCTCTCCTTCTTTCCTTCCCTCCCTCCCCCCCCTCCTCAACTGCAAATCCAAATCTCCACCCATTTACCTATTATGCAGGTCTTTGAATGGGTAGCCATATGTCCAAGCTTGCGTCTGATTGAAGAATGAGACATCGAACATGCAAAAAGGACCATCTTTCAGAGCTACTCCAGAAGTGATAAAGCAAATCAAGGCTCCAAGCAAAGCCAGGCCACTTGACAACAGAGCAGTAAGCACCTGCAGAGGGAGGAAGAAACAGCTGAGACAAGGTCATGGCTAGATGACTTGTGGGGTGATCTGGACGAGTCTAACTTCTCTGTTGCCCAGGCTTTCTCCCATCCTGTCACAGGAGGATAATTCTATCCATAGCACTTCCTTTGAAGCATAAGCCAAAGTAGGGTGGCTGATGAGGGGTTCCTAGGTAGAGCCAGGAAGGGTGGGAGAGAAAGGACCAAGAAGGGGAAACACGGACACTTGGACCCAGATCTCTCTGACTCAGCAGGCTCTTCTGAGCTTCTTAGCAGGTTGGCATCAAAAACTTTTGCGCACAGCCTACAGTCATTCAGCCTCTAAGTTAAAGGGTAGATTAGTTATTGTATGCTCACCTATGACTCTTCTAAGAAAAAGCTGTATGTTTAAAAGTTCCAAGCTTCCAACCCTGATTCCTCCCTTTCTCAAATCAAGCACAAAAGGAAGGAAGGGAAGGGACAGGGGGGATAAAGATAGAAGTGAGGGAAGGAAGGGAGGGAGGCAGGGAGAGAAACAGAAATTACAGTCAAACTTTGAAATGACTCCAGTTCTGTCATGTTATTTTTCCAATCAAGAGTTCCTTAGGTTATTAGTCTGTGCTCTACTCACTTCCTTCCCAAAAGATAGCAGTGGGTTTCTTTCCTTGGCAGGTTTTTAGCCTGCTTCCATATAGCCTTCTTTGTTAGGGTCCCAGCTTCCCCCTCCTCCCCGCTAAAGAATACGTATTTTAAAATTTTGAGTAAAACCCACATAGAGTTTTTCCATAGTCATAGAGTCATTTTCCCACTGATGTCAAGCTGGTTTGAGCTTAGGAGGGATCAGAGAAAGATGCGTGGTAAGTTTTGTCTCTACGCTAAAAGATTCAAGATGAAATTAGTTGATGTAAGCCTAGGGCAGTAGTTCTCAAAATGTGGTCCCTGGAGAAGACCACATCACATCACCTGAGAACTCATTAGAAATGCAAATTTTCCTGCTCCAACTCGGACCTCTGAAATTGGAAACTCTGGGAATGGAACCCAGCAATCTGTGTTTTAAGCAAGTCCTCTAGGTGGTTCTGATGCACACTTAAGTTTAAGAACCACTCACCTAGGGAAAAACCAGACGTGACTGAGGACAGATAGTGAATGAAATGTGTGGGTGTTTAGATTTAATTCTTTAACATGTAACTGTGAGTCAGTGGGGTTCCCAATATGTGAGCTGTAGAAAACAGAGGTTTTACAGATAATGAAACTGAGGCCCAGATTAGAATCTAGCAATTAGATGATCTCTGGGAAAACTTCTGGTTGTAAGAGAATATTAATTAAAATAGCCGGGAAATTTTCTATCAGTAACACACGATTACAATGTGCATAACTCATGTCCATATTGTTCAATAGGCTAAAAAAATCATAATTCCTCAAATCTGTATAGACATTTATGGTCCAGTAAGCATTTACTCTCTTGACTTGGTCACCCATTTTACAGTTGAGAACCTGAAGCTGGAATAGTTAAACAACTTATCAAAGAGCTTAGAGTCCTTAAGGGGTAACAGTCGGGGCCTGACTTCAAGCCCCAAGACCAAAATTGTCTGCTGACCATTCTGCCTCTGGAGTGATAGGATGTGAGGACATTCTAGGTGTTAGAAGAGTGGAATCTGGTACTTACACTTCGACAGGGCCCACTCTTACTGAAGCAGCCGTACCTCCAGCCCATCAAGGAGATGAGGGTAGCTGCAGTGAACACCTGGGGAGGAGAGGAATGTTGGGAATAGATTTGGTAATTTACTTTTATACCTGTTTCTACCTGCTGCCCATGGCTGTTGAAAGAGAGTTGTTGGGCACCTCACATGAACTCAATTGTCCTATTGGCTTTGACTATTGGGACCCAATATTGGATGGCTAGTTTGATCTGACTCTGGATGCTAACATTCACACCTGGACTGCCTAGTGCCAAGCTAAAATCCAGAAACTACTGACCAGTCTTCCTATCCCTTGGAGCTTCTATAGACCCAAGACCAGTTTGTTAGAATAACCTTTTTTTGCAAAGGATCAAAACACTCTTCCCCCACCACCTGCCTGTTCCACCCCTGGGGGACACTTTGGGAGTTCACACCCAGGGGACACCAGACTCTTACCATGAGGCCTCCTCCCCAGAGCCCAGCGCCCAGCAGGGCAGGTCTGCCAATGAGGCCCCTCCACAGGAAAGTCACATCCCAATTAGGAAAGAGTAGTGCCATGTTGGCCATAGTCGCAAACAGGGCTGAAGTCCCAAGGCTCAGCCCCAGGATGCGGGAGCAAGTCCGTGAGCACGCCAACATACAGGGAGAGAACAGCATCCTGGAACAGATGGAAAAAGAGTTACAGCAGCTCTGCTGCTGGAAGCATGGGATAAGTAAGCTGTAGTAGCATATGGTGGATGGGGGAAACAGACTACAGAAACTGTTACCTCCCAGGGTGAGATCAAGATGAGCCAAGGAACTTGCTTAAAAACTCTGCCCCTTATAAGTCTTCCCCAATGTATAGGATGTAATTGCTTCATTTTCTGCCAGCTCTCACACACACATTGCACATCCCATATTTTGCTTGTGCCTCTAACAGCCAGTGATTATTTCTATCTGGTAAAGAAAAGAAAACTTTTAAAAGTGTCCTCATGGCCAGGCGCAGTGGCTCACGCCTGTAATCCTAGCATTCTGGGAGGCTGAGGCGGGAAGATCACTTGAGCTCAGGACTTTGAGACCAGCCTGAGCAAGAGAGAGACCCTGTCTCTACTAAAAAATAAAAAGAAATTAGCCAGACAACTAAAAAAATATATAGAAAAAATAAGCCGGGCATGGTGGTGCATGCCTGTAGTCCCAGCTACTCGGGAGGCTGAGGCAGGAGGATCGCCTGAGCCCACGAGTTTGAGGTTGCTGTGAGCTAGGCTGACGCCATGGCACTCTAGCCCGGGCAACAGAGCGAGACTCTGTCTCAAAAAAAAAAAAAAAGAAAAAAAGAAAGCAGACCAGTGGTTGCCAGGCACTGGGAATGAGAGAGAGGATTAATATAGGGGCATAAGGGAACTTTTTGAGGTGATGGAAATGTTCCATATCTGTATTCTGGTGGTGAATACAAAACTACATGTATTGACAAAACTCATCAAACTTCGTGCTTAAAATCTGTGAATTTTATTGAATTTTAATTATATATCAATAAAGCTGATTAAAAATTAAAATGCCATATGTAAATTTTTAAAAGTCTCTTCTCCTTATATTTCTTTCTCCCTTTTATATTTTCAATGATATATGAACTTCTTGTCGTTTTTTAAAAATATACACACACACACATACACACACACAAAAAAATACAGTAGTCCCCCTCTTATCCTGGAGAGAGATGTTCTAAGACCCCCAGTGGATGTCTGAAAACACAGATGGCACTAAACCCTACATATACAGATGCTCCTGACTTATCATGCATGGCGTCACACCCAGATAAACTCGTCATAAATCAAAAATATAGTAAGTGAAAAATGCATTTAATGCTGGCAACAGAGCAGACAGTCCCCAGATTACAATGGTTCGACTTTACAATTTTTCAACTTTATGATGGTATAAAAGCAATATGTATTCAGTAGAAACTATAACTCCATGATAAATTGTAAGGAGCTCCTCGACTTACCATGGGGTTAAGTCCCTATAAATCCACCATACAGTTAAAAAAATGTAAATGGAACTGTCATAAGTTGGATGCTAATGTATGTTAATGGGGGAAAAAAGAAAAGAAAGTATCATAAGTCAGGTTCTGTCTGCACTTTTCTTTCCTATATATACATACACATGACAAAGTTTAATTTATAAATTAGGTACAGTAAGAGATTAACAACAATAACTAATAACAAAATAGAACAATTATAATAGCATACTATAATAAAAGTTATGTGAATGTGGTCTCTCTTTTTCTCAAAACATGTAATATTTTCAGACCATAGTAACTGAAACCTTGGAAAGCAAAACCAAGGATAAGGGGGGACTACTGTGTATCAGACACATATAATGAAATATTTCAGAATAATTAAACATAATGTATAAAATGTATTTATACTTGTAACTTGTAAGGGACAATTAAACAACATCCACGTAAACACAACCAGTTTTAAAAATAAGTCATGGCGCCGGGGTGGGGTGAGCGGGCTGCGTCCCGCTGGAGCGCGCCATGGGCCTGCTGTGGCAAGAGGAGGCGGGGGACGGCCGCCGGCGCTCCTACTGACACCACGTGAGTCGCCTGGTGTTGCGGGGCGGCAGCGCCGCGCCCACAGTACACGCACCTGTGCCAGCTCGGGGACCCGGGTGGAGCGTGGGGCTGAGCGCGCCGCAGCTCGGGGTGCAGCCGCAGGTGCTGCCCTGGAGCCCCTAGGCGCTCTGCCGCGCCTGCGCGAGCTCCGCCAGATGGCGCCCTTCCCGCTGCGTGTGTTCCTGAACCCCGGCCTGCTGGTGCTGGACAGTCGCCTGGTCACCTGTCCCGAGGGCTGCGAGAGCGTCGCCGGCTTCCAGGCGGTGCAGATCTCAGGGCTGGACCCCAGAGGAGAGCAGGTGGTGTGGCCGGCCAGGGGCTGGGCTACCCGCATCATCCTGTGCGAGGTGGACCATTTGCAGGGCTGCCTGTTCGTTGACGAAATGGACTGCAGGACATTCACAGACATCCACTGGATGGAGGTGAATGACCGAAGCTTTCCTGTTGGGCCTGAGGGGCCTGAAGACCAAGAAGCAAACCCCGGCTTTCAGCTGGGCCTGTCTTACTTGGCATCAACTTGGTACTGGCTTGGATCTGACAGGAAGTGGCGGTCTGCCAGACCATGCCAAACTGAGCTGGAGGAAGATGTTAGAAAAGTTTGTCCGAAATCAGCTGTGGACAAAATATTGCCTACAAGTTGAGAAGAAAAAGAAGAAAAATAGCCCACTCCCAAAGGAATGGACATTTCCTGACGATTTTGTGTGGAGACAGATGGGGCAAGTAAGTTCATTCTCAGTAGATTTGAGTTCGGAAGACCTGTATCATCTACTCCCACGGCCAAGATTTGATAATAATATAATCCCCAAATCTCTGAAAGCTGTGTTTGAAAGTGCAGGTAAGGCTGTGGTTGACCGTCAAAAAAAAAAAAAAATCATTACAAATAATACCACTGAAGCTCCCGGTGTGCCCTCTTCAACTCTACCGTCTTCCTGGACTCCTTCTAGGAACAACTATCCGAAATTTTGTTTTTATCATACCTTTTTAAAACCAGTTTTACAACTTATGAACTCAAAATTTTATTTATTTTTTATTGAGGTAAAATATACATATATAATTTACT